GCGGGGGTCCGGATCCAACGGCGGCGCCGGGCGGCCATCTTGAGAGGGGCGGAGGGGGAAGGTCGGGCTGGGCTGGGAAGGGGCGGCCCGGGGGGGACCCCGAAAGGTCCCCGTGGCCCTGGTGTCCCCAAAGTGTCCCCGTGGCCCTGTCCTGAGGCGTCCCCATGGCCCTGCCATCCCCAGAGTGTCCCCATGGCCCTGTCCCAAGGGGTCCCCGTGGCCCTCTTGTCCCCAAAGGGTCCCCATGGCCCTGTCCCAAAGGGTCTCCATGGCCATGACATCGCCAAAGTGTCCCCATGGCCCTGCCCTGAGGTGTCCCCATGGCCCTGTTGTCCCCAAAGTGTCCCCATGGCCCTGTCCTGAGGTGTCCCCATGGCCCTGTTGTCCCCAAAGTGTCCCCATGGTCATGTCCCAAGGGGTTCCCGTGTCCCTGTTGTCCCCAAAATGTCCCCATGGCCCTGTCCTGAGGTGTCCCCATGGCCCTGTTGTCCCCAAAGTGTCCCCATGGCCCCGTCCCCAAGGGTCCCTGTTCCCCTGTCTTCCCCAAAGTGTCCCCACGGTCATGTCCCAAGGGGTCCCCATGGCCCTGTTGTCCCCAAAGTGTCCCCATGACCATGTCCCCAGGTGTCCCCATGGCCCTGACATCCCTGTCCCTGCCCCAGGTCCTGGGATGTCCCAGGCAGGTGTAGGGTGCTGGGGACAGGATGGGATTGGGGACAGAGCCCCGAGCGGTGGCAGGACACAACCAAACACCTTGCGACGGTGACACCAACGGTGTTTATTGCCTGGGGAGGGGACACCCCGCGGGATCGAGATTGAATCATCGATTTAATGATGATGAAAATCATCATTAAAATTAAATCATCCCAGGAGATGGCGGGTGACCGGGCTGCAGGGACACACTGGGGACATCGGGACAACCGGTTACACGCTGGTGGCCTGAGCATCGTCACCGCTCTCATCCCAACCCCGCGCCGGCATCCGGCGTCCCGTCCTCCCGGGGTGGCCCAGGGCTTGGGCGATGGCACCCCGCAGCTCCGCCTGCTCCCTCTCCAGTGCCGACAGCCGTCTCTCCTGCGAGGGGACCGCGTCAGCCCCCACCCGGGTCCCTCTTGTCACCCATGGGTGCACCCGCGTCTTACCAGCTCTCGGTTCTTCTCCTCGCTGATCTTCAGCCTCTCCAGGTCTTTCTTCCTGGTGCCTTCAGCCGCCGTCAACCTAATTGGGTTGGGGATGAGCCGAGCCCCCGATCCGGTGGTGGGGCACCCACCGGCATGGGGCACCCGCCGGCATGGGGCACCCCATCCCCATCCCTACCTGGCACCCAAATTGGCCGCGCGGGCGTTTGTCTCCTCCAACTGCTGCCGGAGACGCTCGAGCTGCTCTCGCTGCTGACCCTGCTCCTGCCGCAACCCGCGGTGCTGGGCCTCCATTTCGCCCGCCCGCGTCTCCGCCAGCCGTAACTTCTCCCGGTTCTCCGCCACCTCCTTCCGCAGCGCCTCGATCAACCGCCCGTGCTGGAGGGGGGACGAGGACGGGGTGGGATTGAGGGGTTCGGCACGGCACCCCGGTGGGTTCGGCTCCCACCCACCCCGCAGTTACCTTCTCCAAGGGGCGGATGGCGTAGAGCTCGCCCTGTGCCGCCGCCACCCCCGCCTCCTACGCGGAGCG